ATTAATTACTTAATGCTGAGGAATAGACATCTGTTGTAACTGAGGAGATGAAGACGATGTTTCTAGGTTAGCAGAGCTGATGGAAGTAGGCAAGTCAAGCCAGGCTGTATGGCTCAGACATATATTCTGAATTATTCAGAAGGCTAGGAAGGTCAAGGTTCCAAGCCAACCCAAACAGAAAAGTCTACAACTATCTCCAGTTAACCAGCAAAATGCTGGAATGAAAACATGGCCAAATAGAAGAGCAACAATTGTAAGCAAACAAGCTGAACCAAAAGAGTGAGGCCTTGGATTCAAGTCAGAATATTGATACACACTCAAAAATAGACAATAAGAGTCTATTTTAATAATCAAGAAAAGAGATGATAGCAGTGGATCTAAGAGACTTTTAATGTCTCAAGAAATCAACAATGCTTGTGAATAGATCCATTAGTCAGACCTACGAGAAGAATTTGCTGAAAGCATGGATGGCTGACAATCTCCAGTTGTCACAGCTTTGGATCCATCAAAATTTTCATGCCAGGACTATAATCCATAGACTTTTTGCACTAATGACTGAGTACAGCCGAGCCTGATCATCCTGACCAAGAACTCCATGACATTGGCCTCATGTGGAAATGTACTGCTGGGCCGTACCCGTTCATACGGCAGGGTGTCAGACCTGCATTCCCCTCTGTAAGACCTTGCCTTTTCTAGTTATTTCTATCATAACCTACGTTTTTCCTAATATCTTTCATTCTGGATTAATCTGTTAGAGCTGCTGTAACAACATTCCACAAATGGATAGGGGCTGAGACAAAAGAAAAAAAAATTTTTTTTTTTTTGGTTTGCAGTCCAAACTCAAGGTACTTGGGTTCTTTAATTCTGAGAGATGAGGAAAAGACCTCTTTAAGGTTTTTCTCCTTGGTTTGTAGATTACTGTCTTCCTGTTAGTGTGATATTCTGGCAGTATTCATATGTGCCTTCTCTTTTTTTTCTTTTGTAAGACGACTTACCATGATAGAATATAGTCCACTTATCCTAATTGAATATTGACCCTAATTTAACTTAATTAGCTTTGTGAAGACCCTACCTCTAATATAATAATAATATCACATTTTACAGTTCTGGGAGTGAAGACCTCAACCTGAAAACTTTGAAAGACACAATCCAACCCATAGCTCACTCTAACCCTTACTAATACTCATATTTTAATATAGTCTGTTTCTTGAAGTGGTACCTGCTAGATTGGACTAAGAGTCAGGGTTGAAACGACAGATGTCAAATTAGCCAAAGCAATTTTTGCTATAATGTTTCTAGTTTGTCTGAAGTTCAAATGAAAATTATAGACAACTAACCTAGCTCATTAGCTGTTTGCTTATGATACTATGGCAAAAAAGAGTTTCAGGTTTATTTTATTTATATATATACATATATATATACATATATGTATATATAATGATTTAATCTCTTACTGCTTTGTTATTTCTAACTGTATATATTGAGTAGGTGTGTGTGTGTGTGTGTGTGTGTGTGTGTGTGTGTGTGTGTGTGTGTGTGTATAACTTACCTATTCCCAACTCTGGCTTGCATGTCCCATAGAATAAATTAGGAAATAATATTAACACACTTAATACATTCACTATACATGTTCTATTAAACTAAAAGGAAAAGAGAAATATAAATCAAATGCAGCATGTTACAGCAAATTAAATCTATTGGTATTCTCTCATAGAGTAGTAAAAATGAGTTTTATTTTGTTGTGCTTATTTTATGTGATATCAGAAATTTTACATAAAATTTTATCAAGCATACTTCAGTGATTTTATTTTGATACTATAACTTATACACGCCTTTGGAGCAGAAATAGTTCTTTCTAATCTGAATATAATGGAGCATTAAGGAATCTGCATTGTATTAGGACAGACCCTGAAATGACAACCTAGAAAAGGTACATCTGAGCATGCCTGGTGATGAGTGAGTGTAATTCAATGTAAATGACTGTTCAGCATCCTTTTTTGGCTCACTCAAACTTCCATACTTTGTATAAAAACTTTCTATATTCAGTGGGAATCAACAGGATGACTTCTGATAGGAAAGTGCACAATAAAAATTATGTGTACAAAATCAGCACATGAATAGCCAAGTTTGGGTGTCATGAACAAATATCATTTTGTAAAAATAAAATAAAATAAGTAAAGCAAAATAAAAACTTTGCTTTTAAAATGTCATGGATTTTAAAGCCCTATTTCTTTTGTTTAAAAATAATGCAATCTGGGTCTTGAAGGATAAAATTGGGTGTTTCACTTTAAATTATAGCTTATTTTAAGGTATATTTTATATTTACTCCACTGTCAGTTCATTATATTAACATAATGATTTTAAAGCTTCCTAATGATGTTTAGACTTCCTTGAAAGAAATTACCACATGTCCATATATATGTGTATATATATATATATAATATATATATATATGGTTTTATTTGTTGTTTTTATAGTCAAGTAGTTGTCATGACGATGTAGCCATCTGAGGAAAGACATTTTTAGAGAAATATAAGCTTCAAATTCTGTTTAATAATACGAAGGCTTTTAAAATTTGCTTTAAGTTAGTATATATAATATTAAATTCACTAATTTGATTTGACCTATTTAGAGTTTAACAATATTCTTTGTATCTGCAATAGTCTTATTTCAAAGAGATTTCTGTTTGGAAGATAGTGTTTACATCTATAATTAAATAAAACTAGGATGTAAAATATTTAGAGAATATGCATACTAATAACATTTGCTAGAACAAAGAATAAAATAGCAAACCAGGGAAGTTAAATGATTATTCACAATAAGGGAAAATAGTCTCATTAGGCCAGTTAATTTGACTATTTATTGGAAGGTTAGGAATTCACTGAAGGTTTGATGATGACCTTGGGAGTAAAGAATATTAGTTGTTATTAACCTTAAAATTCTTAAGTTCTATGTTCTCTGTTTTTGAGATTTCCCAACTTACTGTTTTACTGCAATTTCATGGTATTAGCATATGGATGATTTGATATATATGACCTGAAAGAATCTAGTTTATTTCCAGAAATGCTTTTACATAACTAAATTTTTCTAAAATTTAGACTAAAAATGCCAGAATTTTTGGGATGCCATTTAGCTTGGAAAATTAAGCACAGGACTTGAAAAGAGAAGTATAATTCTCAATAACCATAACCTATGCTTCCATAAGGTTTTCTTGTCTTGTACATTCACTTTTTTTTTTAATCCAGGAAAACAAAAGGAACATGACTCCTTATTCAAGTAATTAAGGAGAATATTATTTATCAAGTCATGTTGTGCTAAAAGGCCAAAACTAACTTCTTTATGTTTTTTTATTACTTTTTTCTAGTGGCAGAACTTTTGCCCTTTTCTGTTCTCAGATTTTCTCTTAACTAACAAGTCTAAGTTGAGCTTGGTAAATAGAGTAAATCCTATGTACTGATGTTTTTGTTAAGTCAAGAGTGAAGGGTATGTTAAGTGTATTTTAAAGTACTGCAAGCAAAGCACACACACACACACACACACACGTGCGTGCACACGCGCGCACACACACACACACACGCACCAATCCTTAAGACATATACTGTGATAGAGACCATATAAAGACCACAAAACCTAAATTTTGTCATACTTTATACAGAAAACAATTTAGATCTCTCATCTCCGTGTTCTGTGTGTTGGAGAAAGTATATACGTAAAGGCATTCATACATGTATATTTATACTTGTTCAACAATCTACTCATTTATAAAAATAGCACCTTAGACTTCATGCTACTTTGCTTTTGCAGTTAAACCATTATTGACTGAATGATTCCATTTGTAACTATCATTAAATCACTGGTTTTTATACCATCATTTTTTTGTTGTTGTTTTGGTTTTTTTTTGGCCAGTCCTGGGGCTTGAACTTAGGGCCTGGCCACAGTCCCTGAGCTTCTTTTGCTCAAGTCTAGCACTCTACCACTTGAGCCATAATGCCACTTCTGGCCTTTTCTATTTATTTGGCACTGAGGAATCAAACCCACGGTTTCATACATGATAGGGAAGCACTCTGCCACTAAGCCAGTAGCTATATAAATAGCAGTGATTACTAGAAACTATCTTGGTTTTTACCCAGTGTTAGTCATATTTTGCAAGTTTTGATTACTACTCAGAAGCTAGTATAGAGTCTGATGCTTAATAATGCTCTAATAATTTGTTGCCTGTATGCATGTACATAAAGCACACTTCATGTTCCAGTGGTTCACACTCCTGTACAGCTGATCTGTACAGCTGACTCTGAAGTCTGAATACTTATCAACTTTACTGCATCAAGCAAAGTGAAACAGAATTTAAGTAACTGAGTTTTATTTGTGATCACTTCCTGAAATACCTAATGTTTTGTTTTTAATCTCCTATAGATACTTTTTTCTTGTTGCGTAGGGGTTGACTTGGGCATTGATTGCAATTCTATACTTTGAGGTGGGAATTACAAGCTTAGTGATGCTTAGCTCCTGTCCCTGAGAACTTTGATTTAATTATGGCCTGAGCATGGGCATACCCAAATTATTCTGATGTATACTCAAGGTTGTTATGAGTTTGATGCACATGCACATACACATATGTATACACACACAAAACATAAATTATATCATACACACATGTACACAGAGCTCCAAAGTGGAGTACTTTTATATACCATCAGAAGGCATGGAGGATATGGGACAAAGACTGGCTTCATTGAAGATGTTTTTCCCGATCTGAGGTTTAGAGAATTATTTTCTAACATAATCTTTTGACAGAAGGAAAACAGTATGTCAGAAATAGAAATATTATCCTGCAAGCAGTGTAGGTTTTGTCTTATGAAATGTAAGTAAACCTTGATAATAAATTGATTGCCTGGAATGTAACTATTTGTCAGAAGCGATAATTGTAATAAATACATACGATCTGAAAATATTGTCTGCATTACATTTAAATAATTTTATTCATTTTTAATTATTTATAGGATGAGAAGAAGAAACCGAAAGACAAGGAGATATGGAGTTTTGGATACTAACATAGAAAACATGGAGTTGACACCTTTAGAACAAGATGATGAGGATGATGACAACACATTGTTTGATGCCAATCATCCTAGAAGGTAAATACTTAGTTAGTGACTTCCACATATCTGGAAGGATATCCCAGAAACATGAAGTAAAGTATCATCTAAGATTTTATCTAACAACTTTTATTTGGTTCTTTTTAACAAACCTATCTAGTAGCTCCCATTCACATTGCTTTGTTGAAATAAACATAAGAAATAATAGATTGCGCTGGGCGCCAGGGGCTCACGCCTGTAATCTTAGCTACTCAGGAGGCTGAGATCTAAGGATTGCAGTTCAAAGCCTGCTGAGGCAGGAAAGTCCGTGAAACACTTATCTCCAATAAACCACCAGAAAACCAGTAGTGGTGCTGTAGCTCAAGTAGTAGAGTGCTAGCCTTGAGCTGAAGAGCTCAGGGACATAGCTCAGGCCTAGAGTTTAAGACCCATGACCCACAAAAAAAAAAAAGAAAAAAGAAAAAAAAAGAAATAATAGTTTGCATCTAGCCTAAAAAATCATTTTTAATTTCATTTTATTGTCAATGTGAAGAATCTTGATTATACATTTCTCTGGGGATGAAGCTGATAAGCTTGATTTTAATTTCTTTTTTTCTATGTGAATCATTTGATTTATAAATGATACTTGTTAGCAGAATATAGTCACTGGTCTGATGTTATAACTATATTGTCTATTGTCAGACACTAAAGGTTGAGACCTTTCCAAAAATGTTTTGATAAAAATTTTTATGAGGCTATAGAATTTGTTTCAGTGTACATGCAATGAAGAAAAAGGACAACTAAGATTACACCCTGTAAGAAAAGGCACATTAGGTAGAATGGAATTTCTTGGGTGGAAAAAAAAAATTAGAATACAGAATTAGATATAAATGCAGTTACTACAGAAATCTTGGGAGTAAAAAGCAACAAAAGTGGTGCTATTATATTACACATACACACATACTTATATATCATACTTATGTATCATCATTTCTCTTATATATAAGACTATAACTATAAAGGGAGCATTTATTAATGCTGGCAATGCATTTATCTAATAAAATACAATAATCATATAATTGTATTAATAGTAGAGGTTGGGCAAACAAAAAATAACCTCAGCCCCTCTATCTCTGTATTGATGTCTCTGTTTTTCTTCTTCCTTTCTTCTAACTTTCTCTTGTCCTTCCAATTTTCTTTTCCTTCCTTCCTTCCTTCCTTTCTTCCCCCCTCCCTCCTTTCCTTCCTCCCTCCCTCCCCCCCTTTTTTTTTGTTATGGTCCATCATGGGGGCTGAACTCTGGGCCTGGGTGCTGTCCCTCAGCAATTCAGCTCAAGGCTAGCACCCTACTACTTCAGCCACAGCACCACTTCTGGCTTTTTCTGCTTATGTGGTGCTGAGGAATCAAACCCAGGGCCTCATGCATACAAGGCAAGCATGCTACTACTGAGCCAACCTCCCAGCCCAACCTTCCTTTCTTTCATTCTTTCTCTCTCTTTCCCTTTTTCCCTTTCCCTTTCCTTTTACTTTTCCTTTTTCTCTTTCCCTTTCTCTTTCCTTTCTCTTGGTGATACTGGGGTTTCAGGGACTTTCACTTTCTATTTAAGCACTTTATTTTGAAGGGTACATCCAAATCTTTTTTCACTGGTTAGTTTTAGGATAGAATCTTGCTTCCCTCCTAAGCATATGTACATGTATGATTATCTGCCTATTTTAGGCTTACTGTAGTTGCTAGGATGACAAATATGTGTCATTGCACCCAACTTCCCGCAGTTGAGATAGTTTCTCACAGACTTTTCTTTCTGGAATATCCAGGGCCTCCAATTTCAGCCTTCCACGTAGCTTACGATGATAGGAACACATCATGGCACCTAACTCTAGGTTAAAGAAGGCACAGCTTCCCAGGTGGCAAAGACTATAGGCATGAGCAGCCTGCATCCAGCAAAGATTCAGTGTCATAATGAAAACACCATGATCAAAATTCATAAAAAGTTTACAACATGGGATTTTGTCCCATTGATATGTATAAATTACCTATAAAATATTATAGACCACTCATTAAGACTAATACTGATTTATCAGCTTTTAGATAGAAAACAGATACATTTGTTGATTTACATGAGTCATTATATATAATATAGATACAAATATATATGATATAAATGAATATGTATCATATAAATTTATATATTTATATACATATTGATATATAAATACAAATATATATCATTCATTATGCATTAGAATCAAAGAAAAAATACAAAATGAATTTCGAATTGGAGGCACAATGACAGAATCTTGGGCTTACTCTAAGAAAGTGCTTATTAAATATAACAGCAATGGAGTATCACTGTTTTATGTTATTATTGTAGTTTTTGCAAAGTTATTGTAATTATAAGTAAATATGCTTGAGATATATGAAGTATCTCCTATATATATACCTACACAGAAAGGGAATACAAAAAATGAAACAGTTAACAATTTAAGAAGATACCAAATTTCAACTCCAGGTCATCTATTTCAGGCAGTTCTTTAAAGGTTGTAATAGAAATTAACAACTATCCAGTTTTGAATAGTTGTAGCAGGTGACAATTCAAATATAAAAGAGCAAGAAACTTTCAGGCATAATAATTTGCCAAGGAACTTGATAATCTGGTGAAAAATGAATAGATTCTTAGTAACATGAATCTCACTAACCTTGAATCAAGAAGAAATTAAAGCTTCACTAAATATAGCAATAACAAAGAAGACTGAATTAGTAATTAAACTCTGTAACAGAGCTAGAGGTATCATTCACCTGGTAGTAGATGAAGCTCTAAGTTTGATCCCCACAAATGAGTAACAAAACAACAACAAAGAAGAGCCCAGGACTAGCTTGCTTCTCAGGTGAATTTTGTCCAACATTCAAATAAGATTTAATACCAATCCTTATCAAACATGTTGAAAAAGCAAATGAGGGAACATTTTAACATTTATTTTGAGTCTAGTATTACCATGATGCCACAATCTAACAAAGATACACAATGAAAGAAAACTACAAGTTAATACCTTGTGAGCATAAATGTAAAAGTTCTTAATAAAATCCTACTAAGAATGAAATTCAGCAGGATATTAAAATGTTGATACTATATAGCAGAGTGAGATTTTTTTCTGTCATGCAAGGATATTTCATAATATAAAGAAACCCATGGGAAGCACCACACTATAAAAGCAATCTCAATCTCAATTATCTCAATAAACAGAAAAGAAAACTTTTGACAGAGTTGAACATCTATTCATGATAAAAATTTTAAAAAAAACTCAATGAAACTGGTTTAATAAAAAAGAATTTAACATAAATTTATAAGGGCATGACTGTAAAAAGCCCACTAATGTCGCAACTAGGAAAATAACTAAGGAACCTGTTGCCAGGCAAGGATGCTCCTTCTGTTCAACTTCACATTGTAACTTTTAGCCAATGGAAACATTATACGTGAAAAAGTAAAATTATTTCTGTTTGCAGTGATATGGTAATACATGTAGTAAACTCTAAAGTTTAACTGTTAGTTGAACATTTTTATGTACTTATGCAAGGTTTTGTGCAGCTTAGCCTTATAAAGACAAACAAGTCCTGAAGTTTGTATGAGGCTGAAGGACTTTATGTTGAATGAAATAATCGAGATGTAGAAACACAAATACAGCACTATTTCAGTAGTATATGAAATCTAATCAAGCTCATGTATGTGGATGGTATAGTGGAGTCTATCTGAAACTATCAAGTAAGCAGGCTTGCTTTCAAGAGTCAATGTAGTAGAGAGGAAGCAAATAAGAAATAGAGTGAGAAAAATTGATTGAGAAAACATTAAAAAACAAATGTAATAAATAGAAAAGAAATACTGCTTCTGAATAATGTGACATTGCAATTATCTTAGTGAAAGAACAAGTCAGAGAACAATCTTGCATTGAAGAAAGTAGAAGAGTTGGAAATGTGGCTTTCTTTGTGCTGTTGTAATATTGTTGTAAATTCCTGCTTTCATTTGTCAAGATTGTTATGAATACCTACAGTGGAAGGAGTAGTTTTTACCATCACTTTTACACCAGAGATGCTGGTGGTTGTGTGTCTGTGTTGCTATACTGATTATATTAGACATACATTTTATCAACCAGAGCAAATTAAAGCCAAACATGAAAGGATTTTAGAAAACAAAATTTATTGCAATTTGGAATTTATCATTATTCCAAAAAGAAGATTGCTTTGCTGAATCTGATTTACCTGGTCAGTTGTTTTTTCCGTCTTCATCCTCCTCCCCACCTTCTCCCCCTTCTCCCCTTATCCCTTCTCCTCCTCCCTCCAACCTTCTCCTCCCCTTCCCCCCCCTCCTCCTCCTCCTCCCCCCCTTCTTCTTCTTAAATGTCATTGTAAAGGTGATGTACAGAGAGGTTACAGTTGCATAAGTCAGATAATGGGTAGATTTCCTTTTGAACAGTGTCAACCCCCTCCCATATTCTCTCCCAGTTTTTCCCCTCCTGACATGCCTCCCCACCAAGTTGTATAGTTCATTTTCAACATAGTGTCTAGTGGGTTTCACTACTGAATTGGTTCAGCAGTGAATTGGTTCCCCTTCCCCTCCCTAAGTGAGATAAACTTATATACAAGACAAAGGGTACAGAAATATAAAACAGAGACAGAAAGGAGTTAACCAAAGATAACAAAGAAGAAGAGAATGAAGAAAAGAGGAGGAGGAGGAGGAGTGCAAACAGTGCAATAAATTTTTTCTTGCTTCCATTTCTTGGCATTCATTTTGACAAACATTATTTTCTATGACCATATGCACATAGCTGTTGAGCCTTTGTGATTCTCTCCTAAGAAAATCCTCCTTTGTCCTCTCTGTGAATGTTTAGACTGCTGTTTAATTAACCATATCCCGGTGTAATTGTCTTTTACTATCCATTGGGTTTATTTGTAGATTTATAGGCACATTCTAATTGTTACAAATGAAGAAAGCTATGCAAACTTTGTTTCTTTGGGTCTGTCATACTTTGATTAGTATAATTTTTTCAAATCTTTCCATTTCCACTGGGGCAATGCCATTCTTATTGATGGAAGCATAGAATTCCATTGTCTTTACCCAGAACATTCTTTTAGAATTGTTTCTTATTTTTATCTTTTTCATTTTATCTGCTAGAATTAGATCATGACAGCATTGCAAACCAAACCTGAGAAAGAAGATGGTAAGACCAGAGTTATCATTTGGAGTGACTATATACTGATGATGCTTAAAATATAGAGGTTAATACAAGCAGAAAATTTTTAAGCATATGAAGTAAACTTCTTGATTAGTATAATTTCTCTTGAAAGTGCCATGTGTATCTTAATTTTATTTATATTTAGTTACTGACACATTTTGTACAAAGAAATCACAAAACTAAAATAAAGCTTAGGTTTCTTGAACTGCTTTATGGGGTTTTCAGTTCCTATTGCCTCATGATGACTCAGAGGCAGCAGAAGCTGGCTAAATTTGCTGTTGTTGTTTGTGGTGGTTGTAGGGCTTAAACTCTGGGCTTGAGCACTGTCCCTCAGCTCTTCAACTGAAGGCAAGCATGCTACCACTTGAGCCACAGTGCCTCTTCCAGTTTTCTGGTGGTTTATTGGAGATAAGAGTCTCATAGACTTTTCCTGCCTGGGCTGGCTTTGAACCGTGATTCCCAGATCTCAGCCTCCTGAGTAGCTAGGATTACAGGCATGAGCCACCGGCGCCTGGCTGTTTTATTTTTCTCAAAGAAAAATGCTGGAGAAAACGGTAACCAGTCTTAAAAAAAGTTTAAAACAGCTTCATGACAAATACAACAAATGTAAAAAATATCTGTGCTATTATGGTTTGACTTCCACTACACAGTAGAATTATTATTTACAATGATGTATACTAGAGGACATTTTTTTAAATTACAGTAACAGCTTCTAAAAGGTAGTCTGTCTATCATTTGAAGGCTACTCTAGTAATTCCTCTTAAGTATGTACTTTTTGAAGCTCTAATTTTACTTTTTGGCTATTTTAACTCTGGGTTATTGAACGTAATATCACATTATATGTGTTCATTATATTTTGTGCTCAGGGTTACTTGGTCATAAAACATTTTCTGGCCATTAGCATCAATACATCTGAATTAACAACAGATGTAATGTTATTGTTTAAGAATAAATCCAAATTATGATTTTCGTCAAACATTATCTAGTTGAAAGTTGTTCTGATTTCTAAAACACTGAATTATTTCATATTATCAGAATGAACATTAAAGCTATTCAGAGTAATTAAAAGTAGGAATTTTTTAAAATGCTAATGTTCATTATAAAAATGATTTTTTTCTAGAATGTCTAATGGTATGTTATTTGCAGGATAAATTGATATTTTGCTGTTAGGGACTATGTCATGCTTGTCATTATTTAAACAGGTAACAAAAGAAAAGATTCATATACAGGTTTTTTTCCATGTTTTATTCTTCTGTGGACATTAAGCCATCGGACAGAATTTCCTTTGCTTCATTAATAACTAAACATCACAGTATGCAGATTTTATAATAACTGGCTTACCAAATATTCAAGGGTCTGAGATTAATCCTCACAGCTATAAGCAGGAAAAAAAGTCTCATGCCTTTACACATCTGGAGTGATGGGGCAGCTCTTATTAGTTCAGATGCCTTTGGATGACAAAGTCTGAAGCTTTTCAATATCTGAAATCATACCCTATGTTTGCCCTGTCCTGGCTGCTTGGCTACTGTCAATTGAGCCATCATATTTGTGTTTTAACTAACAAAGGGTAAGAAGTAACAAATTATAAACACATCCCCAAACTGTTTCCACTAAAAGAACTTTTAATCCTTACCCAACAAAAAATTAATTAAAAATAAAAAGATAAACAAATATGAGTTAAGAATAGCAACTTAGACAATCACACTGAGGAAGTGGTATTTGAGTTGCATTAATTCATTAGCAAAATGATTGTTAATGTTACTTTTTTACATGATCTTCAATATATTTTTGAAAATGTTAAAATACAATATCTTACACTAATTACTTAGAGATCTGTAACTGACTAAATATAAGTGATTAAACAGCAACATGAAAACAAGCTTTTCCAAGAGCTGTGAATAATGATAATGAAAGATTATTAATTTACTAAAATACAAAAAAATTTCGGCTATTCTTTGCTTTGGCTAATTGTAATTGTGATCTCTTTTATTAAAAGCCTATATTTGAATTAAGAAATAGTAAAGCAAGTTGCATAATTAGAATTAAGGTCTGTAAAATTGTGTGATTGAAAATATAATTTTATATTACCATAAACTATGCAACAAGAGAAAAATGAGCAAACATATCCCTTTGCATTTATTGAGACCTTTCTGTTGTTATTGATAATTTTTGTTACCATACTTCACATACCCCACATTTTTTTTGTCATTTTAGGCTTATTCATTTAGTTAATTCTTAGAAATGAAGCCATAGAAATGGAATCATTTGGAGAACTATATTTATTAAAGTTGTAGAAACAACTACTGCATTTAAGTCAATTAAAGTTGTTTATTAATATTACATACAAGTATGACATTATGGTTATAATGTGGTTTTCAATTATCTATAGCAGTTAATTTCCCCCTGAAAATTAGAATTAAATTTTTTTTTTAAATTCTGAAAAAATTAAGCATGAGTCTTTTGATTAGGTAAGTGTATTTATATTTGTTTCAAAAGTTATTTACATATTTTTTTCCTTACAGATAAGATGTGCCTTTTGATGAAAAGATTTCAGCTTTCTACTATGAAGAGCAGAGTTTCTACATTTAAGGAATAAGAAGCCACTATGTCAAAGGGGGAGGGAGTATTTAATTTGTATACATTATGACAACTTTTAATTTGTAACTGCTGCAGTAAATATTCTATTACTTTGTTTTATATTTGTGTATAGAAGTGCTCTGTAATGAGCTCAATATATTCTTGAAGTAAAGTGTACTGTAATAGTTTATTTGTTTGACAGTTATATTAAAATGGTGACTTTTTGTTTTCTGCTTACCATATTATTGTAAACTTTTTTCTTTAAGTACTAATCAATTAGTATTAGTTATTTTTGCTGTGTTGTAATTTTACAACTGTAAACCACAACAAATGGTGTGTAAAAATAATTAAAATTTTCCTTTGTTGAACTATATTTCCCAGTTATGTGGGGAAAAGAAGCCAAATTTATAATGCTCTTTGGGGGTTTTTAAAATATTAATAAATGTCTGCTATTGTATGCAAAGTAATAAATGATTTTAAATTATTTTTAAGTGTTATGGCTACGATACACTTATCTGAACAAGAAAGAATTACAATTAAAAGACATATTTTTATGATTTCTAAAATAATCTGTCAGAAATGTTTTTCATTTTAGCAACTTCCACATCAAATATATGACACATATTGCAGAGTAAACTTTCCTTTTTTTTATTAGCTATGTTAGAAACACATGAATTGTGGAAGCAGTGACAAAGCAGTACAGTTCTGGTTCAGTTATGTTAGAGATAGGCAAATAAAGGTTAAAAACTTAGAAGCTGTAAGCAGATACCAACTTTGTTATCTCTGAAATCATTAATGTGTTTCAGTGGATGAGTTGGGATGTATAAAAATGCTTTCCAATCCAGGTGCTGGTGGCTCACTCTTGTAATCCTAGCTACTCAAGAGGCTGAGATCTGAGGATTGTAGTTCAAAGCCAGCCCAGGCAGGAATGTCCGGGAAACTCATCTCCAATTAACCACCAGAAAACTGGAAGTGGCACTGTGGCTCAAGTGGTAGAGTGCTTGCCTTTAGCTGAACTGGTCAGAGACAGCACCCAAGCCCAGAGTTCAAGCCCCAAGACTGACAAAAACAAACAACAACAAAAAATTTTCCAGTTACTGTGGGTTACAAGGCTGTACATTGCACCCATCCATGGAGTTTATAGATTCTGTTTTTGCTCTTTTAAAAAGCCTGTACCTTTTGAACACTGTCTCAGCAGAAACCATCCACACATGAAGAACTGTACATTGTCTCTTAGGCTTCTGCCTCAGATGGATACATGTCAATTTATATTCATTTTATTGACCAAATCAAATCCTCAGTCGGCTCCAGTATTCAACTAGGCAAGAATCCTGTAGGACAAAATTTATACTATTTGTCTCTTCAAAGTGCCAAACAGCAGCAAAATATTTGTTTATACGCTTGAGACCCTAAGTTCAATCCCCAACAAAACTGAAAGGCAAATTTCATGCCAGCTGATTTTCACAAATTCATCAGTTCATCTTTATAGCTACACACATGAGTATAATGTGTTAGAAGAGGCCAATGTGGAAGACATCTCTTTCTCTAAAAGGATGAATGCTATTCAACATTTACTAAGAGGAAATGTACTTTTTTCCATTAATTCTTAATTTCCAAGAGAAGTCAAGATTCTTTTTTTTTAATGATGTAATGACAATCTTCATGATGTGTTCATTTTTATAATAAAACTGAAAATACTGTTGAGGGATGTGTGCTGCTTCCCAACAAGTTTCCTCACACAAATACCAATCATTACACAAAATGATTATCAGGGTAGCAGTCCAGTCCTTTGAAAATATGACTTAATAAGTATTCTTAATATTTGAATTACCATATTTTCAAATTGCTTCAGAACTGGGTATGGTGGCTCACACCTGTAATTCCTAGCTACATGGGAGTCAAGATTGGGACTCACGATAAAAGCCAGTTCAAGAAAAGTTTTTGAGACCCCTCCCCACCTCTATCTCAATAAAAGCTGGGCATGGTGGTACCTCTGTCATTCTAGTTACTCAAGGCGATCAGAATTCAAGCCAGGCCAGAAATAAATGTGAGAACCTCTTACTCAAACAAGTAAATCAATAAGTACTTAGGGCCTACCTAGATATTGCCAAGTTATTTAAACCCCATTATTATCAAAAATAAAAATGTATCAACAACAGAGAAGGTATTTTTTTATTGAATTTATTCCAATACCTAACACGAAGTTCATTGAATAACTACTATTATTTCTAAACTCACTTTTCCATCAAAACTTTACTGGAAGTTAAAGTTACCAAAGGTAAAACTTTCTGAGAATTAAGGAAATAATGATTCACTGTGAATCTATAATTTAGTTTCTTTTTCTGCAAATCTATATTAATTGTCTGAATGAAGATTTCCTTGTGATACTACTATGCATGCACATCATTGATGTAGATGATATTCACCCTTCTGTTATTCTTTCATCCTCTTCCTCATTTTGTAAGTTTTTTTCTAATGTGGATTTCATAATGACATTTTTATATATGCACTTTGAGTATAGTAATTCTTCTGTCCTTTCCCTGTCCAATCCCATTGTTTAGTCCTTAGATTGGACCCATTTTATTTGCAGGTTAATTTTTTTGTTGTTATTGTGCCAGTCCTGGGGTTTGAGCTCAGAGCATGGGTTCTTGTCCTTGTGCTTTTTTGTTCAAGGCTAATGCTCAGCCACTTTGAACCATTTCTGTTCTTTCTGTGTGTGTCTGTGTCTGTGTCTGTGTCTGAGTGTGTATGTGGTTAATTGGAGATAAGAGTATCAGACTTTTCTGCCCAGTCTGTCTGTCCACCATAATCCTCAGACCTCAGCTTCCTGAGAAGCTAGGAGCCACTGGTGCCTGACTCATTCATGTCAATTATTTTTAAGATATAAATTCCCCACACAAGTAAAATCATGTGATTCCTCAAGCCTGGTTTGTTTTGTTTAACATGATGATCTCAACTTTGATTATCCTTCAAACAACATGTTTCACACATATACACACATATACACATAGTTAATACACCAAATTTCCTTTTTTCATCTGTTGGTGGGTACTGATTGAGAATGCCCCACAAATATAAGTAAATAAAAATAGAACTATCATATGAACCATCTTTTTTTATAGGGAAAGCTTCCAAAATGTTTTGAGTAGTAGCAATAACTTCCTGAGAAACATTTGCTCAAGAAATTTCTCAAGAAGCACAATTCTGCTTTTCTCATCTTTTCTGGAAAAAAAAAAAGTATAGAATACAGGTTAGGCTGGTCTTTTTCTAATCCTTTATTTCCTATGCAAGGCTATCAGTCCCTCAGCACCAGGATTTGCTCTTATCCACCTTGTTTTATGTTTTATTGTTTCTCATTGAATGTTTTTTATTCATGCAAAACCATCCTTCTCAAATAAAAACCAAACCATCCTTCTCTAAATTTGGATGTACTCTTTTTTTTTAAATTATTGTTTCTTGTTCTTAGATGTAGACTACCAATTAGTGCCTTCCACTGGTAGAGCTGAACCAGGAAGGACCAAGAGGATCCAATACAAAAGTGTATGACTTCTACAAAGGGAACCCTTAAAAAGTTTCAAACTATTTAAGGAGGAGCCAAAGTCAAAAGTGAATTAAAATGAATGTAAAAACAAAGCCTCTTATAATGTCATTTCAAATGTTTAGAAAACATTAGCCTTGTCACATTGTTTTTCTTAATATATATTTTATTGTAAAGATACTATACAGAGGGGTTACAGTGACTAGAGTAAGGAAATGAGTATATTTCCTATCAAGCATTGTTACCTTCTCTTTTGTTTATCCCCTACCATCCCTTCCCTCCCCACTTCCCACTCACCCCTAAGTTGTAAACTTCATTTTCAACAGTGTCTTGTACATCTTATTGTTACGATGGGTTATCCTCTATCTTATTTCAGCTTTTTGTTATTTCCCTATCCCTCCTCAAATTAGAAAAAAATGTATATACATGATGCAGGGCACCAGAATCAAATACAGTGAAAACAGGGGTTATACCATGGGAGAAGAACATACAAAATAAATAAAAATATTACATAGTACATTTTAAGTACATTAAAAACAAAAGCACCAAGCCAGACACTGGTGGCTTACTCCTGTAATCCTAGCTACTCAGGAGGCTGAGATCTGAATATCATGCTTCCAAGCCAGTCCAGGCAGGAAAGGCTGTGAGATTCTTATCTCCAGTAAACAACTAGAAAACTGGAAGTAGCATTGTAGCTCAGGCAGTAGAGCACTCACCTTGAACTGAAGAGCTGAAGGACAGTGCCCAGGCCTAGAGTTCAAGCCCCACGACCGACAAAAAATAAAAACAAAACAGCAACAAAGATAAAAGGTCTTGTGTCCCTATCTTGGGGTTCATTTCACTTAGCATCATCTTATATGGTCATATGAACATAGATTTTTGACCTTTTCTGCTTGTCCTAGATATATACCAGACCACACAACAGGACATCCACCATTGAGACCAAGGAAAGAATCCTTAAAGCTGTCAGGATAAAAAGGTCAATAATCTATAAAGGGAAACCAACTAGAATAACCTCAGATTTCTCAGCAAAGACAATGAAAACAAGACAAGCCTGGAATGATGTATGCCACGCCCTAAAGACAAACAACTATCAAGCAAGAATACTGTACCCAGCTAAACTCTCCTTCATAAAAGAAGGTCAAATAAAAACCTTCCATAGCAAAGAAAAATTGAAACACTATATCTCCACCAAACCAGCCCTACAAAAGATACTTAAAGATATCCTACACATAGAAAACCGAAAAGAGCACAATAAAGACCAAGAAACAGCACCCAAACAGGGAATCCTAGAATCATAGGAAGAATTCAGTTGGCACAGCCCCCAAGAAGGTGGATAGCATGGCAGGAACTACCAAACACCTCTCTGTCCTAACTCTCAATATTCAAGGACTTAACTCTCCAATTTAGCAACATAGACTGTCTAGTTGGATCAAAAAGCAAGATCCTTGTACCTGCTGCCTTCAAGAGTCACACCTTGCCCACAAAAACATATTCTGAAAATGAAAGACTGGAATAAATTCTACCAAGCAAATGGCCCCCATAAACAGGCAGGACTTGCAATCTTAATATCATATAAAATAGACTTCAAATTAAAATTAGTGAGAAGAGATAAAGAAGGTCATTACATTCTGTTATTCAATCACTCTGAGGTTAATGGGCAGTGGAGAGAAGAAAATTAGACCCTAATTGATCACATGATGAGCAACATGTATAGACACAGAATTTCTAGTTCTCATTTTTTTTCTAGTTCCCATTTTTGCACACATGAAATATTTACTCTTCGGGTGTCAGTCCCCATATGTGCAAAACAGTCATGTATTCCTAATTATAATCCATGATGGCACTGGTTTGAAGACTACAATATGTAAGTTAAAATTACGGGAAAGATGACAGGAGAAATATTAACTAAAGAAACAATCAACACCCTCAATATTTCATGATGATA